TATATATATATACTATACTATACTATATAGTATAGTATAGTATATATATATATATACACTATACTATACTACTATATACTATACTAGTATATACTATATATATACTAAAAATATATATAAAAGAAACAAATAACTCCCCCACAAAGCCCAGGGAAAATTGAAGGGGGGAAAAAAACAGCAAAGTGGCCTGACCTCCCCCTGTATGGACATTGCCCCAGTCTTGTGATTGTAGCCTCCCTCCTTCAGTGCTGCCCAGTAAACCTTGATAAACCAAGAATTCTTGTGCATCTCTTTGAGCATACAATAGAGCTATGGGATTCTGCTAACTAGCTGAACTGTTGCAGATATTGTCCAAATATCCTGGTGGCATCTGGCATGTATATGAAAGGACTTTGCCTGTGTTTGCATATGGCCCCTTTTCTACATTGGGGCAAATCTTAGGCCAAGAGTGGATCTCAGTTTAGTGTGCTGCAAATCCAGGATCCTTCTTTGTTGTGTTTGACTTAAAAAAAACCTGGCTTGTTTGGAAACAACAAGCCACAGTCTGGGTTTTTTATAACACTGTAATTGCAAGTCTTTCTGGTTTGTTAAGCTAATTGTATAAATAGGAGAAGCCATGCAGCAGGAAATTGAACTATATGGACCAGCAGGTAGTTCTCTCTTACAAACTCAGCTGATTTTCTTTAATCCAGATCCAGGGAACCTGTAGCCCCTTAAGTGCTCCTGAACTACAATTCCCAGTGACCTTCACCAGAAGTAATGCTGGATGGAGTTAGAGGGTAACAAATCGTCCCTGTCCTAGGCAACCAGGTCCATCCATAGACCCTTCATACAGTTGCCAAAGACAGTCATGGGAGCAACATGGAAAACATACTTGAAGTTGGCTGGTGGAACTAACCCAGGCAAACTTTAACTTCATGCAGTTTGCTCACAGCTAACTGCAGCTACAAATGGCCACTTACCTGGCAAATGTGGGATTATCCTATTCTCTGTGTTAATTTCCCCAGATTCAATCGGAAACATTTCCTTCAAAACTTTCTAGCAAGAGAAAGGAACAAAATATCGGTTTTAGAATCTAGCTGAAAGTCTAAGTCTAACCGCCCAGAGTCACCCCACAGTGAGATGGGTGTTGTCAAATTTGAAATATAAATAAATAAAAATAAAATAAGTTAATTCACTGTTAAACATTATCTAACTGTCAGGTTCAACCCAAAGAACTCCCCGAGACAGTGCAGATACAGTTCTGTTGCATTTATTAGCTTCCACCTC